CTGCTTAATATCTAAAACCTTCCCCACATCCTTAGGAGGAATGATACCACTAAAAGTTCTATGAAAAAACCAAAGCAGAGGCTGCATGGTCAGACAGAGGGAGCCCTGTGCTGAGACTCAAGGCCAGGGATTCTTATCCCAGTTCTCCTACCAGCCAAGTGACCATGGGGGCAAACTGCTTTCCCTGTCACATATCTGCAATGTGAGATTATCACACACTTCACAAAACATTGAGATGTATCAGCACAGAGCGTGCTGCAAGAGCTGTGTTTTTATTACCATCAAATTCCCTAGCTGCACAACTAACATAAAGGGAATAAAAACTCCATATCAACCAAATAAGCAGCTAAGTTGTGAGTAGAACAGCAATATGGGATACAGACATATTTATTTGCTTGCATTGCTTCCTGCGAAACAAAGACGACAGTAAGAGCCTCTATTAACAATTACCCAGTGTCACAAAACAGGAATATATCAGCTAGACTTAACTTTTCCTATTGTGCTCTCTGAATGACTTGCCATTATCACTATAATACAGCATAAAAAATACTGCACTCTTCAGCCTCTATTTTTTGATTAACCAGGTGCTCTGGGAATTTCTGTCTCTCCCCATTTGTAATTACTAGTTGTTATTGACATTTTCAATGTGACTTGCTGGCAATTAAATCTATTTGGAAAGAAAAAAAACTTTTTTTCTTCCATAGAAATTACTTACTTAAATTTAAAAATAAACCAGACCTGTTAGGTTAAAAATCTAATTCTGATCCTTCCTTCTGCCTAGTTCTGATTAAGCTTTCCTCATTTTCCAGTAGCTCTGAAGAGAATTGGAGAAATTCACCATCTCTCATAAGGCAAGTAGGAACTTTGGAGAAGTTTGCAGTATGATAATGAAAGCCCTTGCAGCAAGTCTTTCATAATACCATTATCCTCAGGGTACCCAGCCCTCTGAGCTGGAAGGCAGAGATGGGGAGCAGAATGAAGCCCTCTAATTCAGAACAGGTCAGTGACCTGCTACACATCTAGACATACACAGGGCTACAGGCCCTGACTGGATCCACCCAAGGGCACTCAGGGAGCTGCTGGAAGAGTTTGCCAAGCCACTTCCAAACATTTGTCAGCTGATGAACCAGGAAGCTCCCAGCTGACTGAAGTCAGTAACTGTAATGCCCATCTACAGAAGGGTCAGAAGGAGGATCTGGAGAAGGACAGACCTGTCATCCTGGCCTTGGTGCCAGGGAAGGTCATGGAGCACATTGTCTTGAGTGCCAGCATGTGGCACTGGACAACCAGGGGATCAGGCCCAGCCAGGATGGGCTGCTGGTAGGCTGCTTGACCAACCTGATCTCCTTCTATGACAAAGTGATCTGTTTAGTGGATGATTGAAAGATGTGGATGTGACTACATGGACTTTAATAAAGCCTTTGACACTGTTTCCCACAGCACTGTCCTAGAGAAGCTGGCTGCTCATGGCTTTGGGTGGGTGAGTTGCTTACTGGGTAAAAACCTGACTGGATGGCTGGGCCCAGAGATGGTGGTGAGTGGTACATAACAAGTGACAGGATGAGAGGAAATGGCCTAAAGCTGCACCAGGACAGGTTTAGATTAGATATTAGGAAAAACTTCTTCACTTAAAGGGTGTTCAGGCAGTAGAATAGGCTGCCTAGGAAAGTGCTGCAATCATCATCCCTGGAAGTCTCAAAAAATGTATGGATGAGGCACTCCAAGTGACATGGTTTAGTGGTGAACACAGTGGTGCCAGGTTAATGGTTGGACTAGATGATTGTGAAGGTCTTTTCCAGCCTTAACAATTCTGTGAGTCTGAGTGCTGGGGGATGCAATGAGCAAAGCCCCAGCTCATGGGCTGAGGAAGGCATTTTTGAGGACTGTCTTGCATAATGCAGTTCTCCCCTTGCTTAAAGTGCACACTGATAAGCAGCAAGAAACTCTTGATTTGCAAATGTCTTTCCTGGTCCCAGATTCCTGGTCCTTTGTGTTACAATTTGGGCTGAAAATCAAGAGTTTCACCTTCAGGACGTCCATTGCCATTTATAGCTGGAAAAGGGCTTCTCAGAGTGAGATTTTTTCACTTCTTATTGATTACTGCTGTCAAAGGAGCCTGTAGGTTTTCTCCATCCTGTCAACCCTGAGGTGTTTAGTATGGTAAACCAGCCTCCTTGTCAGCAGTGAGGCAAGAAGCAGGAAGAGCTAAAGAAAAACAAACGCTGGTGGGGAAAGCGAAGCATTATTCCTCTCCACAACAACTCCATTCCTAACATCAGGCAGGCAGGTAGAAAGCCTTTTCATGGCACAAAGATCCTTTTAAATCCCTCAGAATCTACAACCTGACAGCTTCTGGTCTAGACTCCTTGTCTGTGTGAAAGCACTACTACACTGACACAGGCAGCCTTTCCCCCCTCTTTGTGTCAGGAAAGGAACACCACAGTGTGCCACTTCTCCACAAGGTCATCTCCTTGTCTGTACAGCAGAAGTGACTATTCTGGTTAAATCCCACCTCCCAGTGACAGCACACTTGAGATAACAATTCACACTACCTGATTTCCATGGTGAAATACTACCTGGGAGACTTACACTTTTGTATGAAGTACAAACACTTACTACATGCATAATCAAACACATTGACTGTCAGCCCAAACAGATGCCCCAGCACTCATTCACCACGTTTACCCAAAAAGCCCTACACTAGAAATAAGTGGTTCTCCTTAGCCTGTAAAGACCACCTTAAAGACTCAATATAAGAAATTTCTGCAGAGAAACAGATTTTGCTGGATTTTTTTTCCTGCACATTTTATACAGTACTGCTGTACACAATGCTGTAAGAATGAGCACGTAAACGTGGTCTTAAGAAATGCAGCCTCCAAATCATACAGTCATCCTGTGTGAATATTTACAGTAATAAAGAAAACAAAGAAGTCTCCCACTCTTCTTCAAACCTTGCCTGCAAGCTCTGCAGAGTTAAGTATATAGTAACACAAAATCAACAAAATCACTAACAATGCATAAAACTGGGTCAGTCCAACTGCTGAAGGTTTATGCTTGCTGCATCTCCTTGGCCTAAATCTGTAATTCAGCTTAAGAGTTGAAAGCAAAGTTGTTCAAGTTTTGACACAGTAATTCAGTGAATAAAACAAATAAAACAAAAAACCCTAGTCCAATTAAAGACTATATTAGTGGGTAAATTACGGCCACACTACCTGCCCCATTTAACTGCAAAACCTACATGGACAGAAAGGCCTTTTTGAGGGGCCCGTTTAACAACAGGTACTTTAGTTTTCACAGACAAAATGAAGGGAGAAAAAATAACAAAAAGAGTTATTTTCTAGCATAAATCAATGAGATTTTATTCATTCAATTCTACGGACATAGGGTAAGGTTAACAATATAGAACAGACCTTAATTCCACTAGTAACTTAACATGGAAGTTACAGATTCAAAGATACACATCTGCATCAAAGAAAATACATTAAAAAAGGGGCAGTGGGGGGGGGGGACCCCACACAACCAAAACAAAGAAACAAACAAACCCCAAACACTATGCAACCAAAGCAATCCAAGACCTAGAGACCTAGGAGCAGGAGGAGAATAATTACTGAAAATCAAGCAATGCAAAAATTCCTAAGAGACACCACCCTTTTTAGGGTGTGAGATTAATCAAGTCAAAAGTTGACATCAACTAACACCAGTGGACTTCAATTCCACTTCACACTATGGTCCTTGATCAAATTCTCAATTTACCTGTACTGCAGAAATCCACAAACCTACATGGACTTAAATAAACACCTGTAATTCCCAGTGAAAAGGGACACCATGTAATGGTGATTGTTTCTCTGTCTTCAGTAGCATGCAAACAGTGAGTACTTGCTATTTGCTATCACTTGTATTTTCTTTTAAACTGCAAGCCAGAAATTATTTTTCTTTCTAGATTTCTCACAAAATCTGACTTTCTTCAGGTTGGGACTGTCACTCTGTCACCTGTAACTGTTTAAAGGCAACCAAAATAGGAAGTATTTAAATAAAATAAAGGGAAAAGACTGAGCCTCTATTGAAAAGCTTCACCACTTCAGATGTATCCACTTGGAAGTTATTACAGTGTTTTATTTCCAGTTTTAGTCTTCCAGAAGATTCAGAAATATTTTCCCCACAGGGCTTTAGAAGGGACTGAACATAAACACCAATGCATCATCATCTTCCTTTCTGTGTACTTCAGGAGCTGTACTCTGTGAGATTATCCCAAATATATCTCAGTCTCTCAGCCATTTGTTGCTGGGTGATCAACTATATAGGTACAGCAACTCTGTCAGGTGCTGCAGCACCTCTTTTTTTAATCTGTTTATCTGTCCTTTCCTTCCCACAGTGTGTTCTACACCTTCACTGTTTTTATAACATGATTTCACGGACTGGACCTGGAGATTTTTTCCTATTCAAAATACATATGCTGTGCAAAAAAAAAGCAGATTTGGTGGAAAAAATGAAGATTGGCAGATTTTATGCATGACTTTGGTTTTTATTTGGTTTTTATTTATTATTTCAATTTCCTTTTTTTCTTAGACAGTGAACTCTCATAATATATCAGCATTTGTCATAAATCAAACAAAAAAAAAAGTGATCTGAGTATGAAGGAATACAGTTGTGCTCAGTATTCAGGTAAACAACAGCCACATCATATGAAGTTAGTTTGCCAGTAAGAACAAACAGAGGATCCTGGGCTAATAATTCAATTTCCACTTCAGTCCCCTCACACAAAGGGCTCAGTACAATGTCTCTCCAGGCCACCACACCCCAGGGGAAAGAAGGAAACACAACCCACATCAGCAGTGAGCAACACCTCCTGGTACCAGTCTAATCCATTATATTAACTGTACTTTCTGCAGATTGTCATTTCTACTCTCTACAAAGCCATCCACTGAGGCCTGCAGTTGAAATGTAATTATCTACTCAGAAGTTATTTCAAATCAATAAATAGATCACAACTGCTCACATACCTGCTGGAAGAAGGGGAGTTCAGAGCACTTGATGTGATCCCAGTTGACAAGGTGGCCTCTCTGCAACCAGCACACTGGGGACCTGCAAAACAAGAGTCTGTGTGTTATAAGTTGCACATCTTTTACAAAATACAAGGAAAAAAATTCTTTCTAACTGTCCCTTTGAGAAAGGCAAAAGAGGCCACCCCCCCCCATTAACTATGCTAAACCCACTGGATTGAAGCCTGCTAGAGAAAAACCTGGCAAGGTGTGACTGTAAAGGATGGTGCATGAAACCACAGCTTGGCTCCTGAAGTTGCCAGAATGACAACACCCACCAATGGCAGCAGGAGCAGAGAAAGGGGGGAGACATCACATTCTAAAGTTGGTGGGATCATGTTCTTCACTCTCAATGGGATTTAAGCTCCTTTCTCCCATGGGCACTTCTGAACATCACACACAGCTTGTTTCCACTTAGACCTATCTTCAAGCACTTCATAGAACAGGGCAGCATTATCAGTTTCTTTGCATAATCTGAATCCTATTGAACACTGGATCAGATATGAGCACTTAATCCCATTAAACACTGGATCAGATATGAGCACTTCATGGACTTGAGACTCAAAAAAACCATGTACATAAATTCTACACATCCAGAAGACATAATGTAGAAATCCGGGTGGGGGGGAAGTTCATTGAAAAACAAAATACAAGAAACTGAAAGAAAAATTTAAAATCACCTTTCTGAAAGCAAAATATTTTCATACAACACAGCATTAGAATCTCTCTTGCGTACTATTTTTGTTTCTAAGGAAGTTATACTTCTGATTTTTTTTGTATAACCACAGAAACTAATTTTTCATTTATAGCTTTAAAAGAAAGCAAAATCTCATGCATACAGAAATTGAAAAGATTTTATTAAATTTAAAAAAAAATAAAAGAACACCATTAGTAGAACAGCAAAAGGCATCATTAGTGGGACTATACTGTACGAAAGAATGAAGTAACTGTACACAGCACTGGACAAGACTAGTCACATGTAAAATTAAACCTCCATCTCGGATCAGGTCATTGCCCACATGATGTCCTGTACTAAACCTTCACAGAACCTCAGGCTGGTTGAGCTTGGAAGGGAGCCCTGCAGGACACCTGATCCAACTGTCTGGTTCAAGCAGAGGCACGCAGAGCCGGCTGCCCAGAATTGTATCAGACAGCTTTCAAAGATCTCCAACCACAAGGCTGCACAACCTCTCTGGGCAGCCTGTGCCAGCACTCAGCCACCCTCACAGCAAGAGTATTTTCCAGATGTTCACACAGAACTCTGCTTCAGTGTGTGCTTCTATTCCTGTCACTGGGCACCACTGAAAAGAGCCTCACTCCTATCTTCTTTCTTTGTACCCTCCCTTCAGCTGTTTATATATATTGATAAGATTCCCCCTGAGCCTTCTCCTTTAAAAGCTGGATAGTCCCAGCTCTCTCACCTCAGCCCTTCTCCATTACTCATCTCTATGGCACTTCACATAAGACTCATACAAATGCACACACTGCTTCCCACTGCACATGAAGTCTCATCACAGCCCACAGGACACTTGGCAAGTACAGATGCTAGATCTCCTCCTAATGCAAAGTGCCTGGGAATCAACACCCCAGTAACTTGATACCAGCAGGTTTCAGTAAAAAGGTGACATGGTCACACTTCCCTTGTTCCAGGAGCCCAGAGAACTTGAGAAGAAATTATTTACCCAGTGCTGTGGCTCTATTCATGCTCCTCATCCCCCACCACCCCAATCATGGACTGGCTGAAAGGCTTTGAAGGGAAGACTTTTAAGTGAAGACTGTTATAAGCAGAGTAACAAGTGTTTTTATGCCAATGCAATGACTTCCATAGTTATTAAGGCAGAATTAGTATACTTGGACAATTAAGAGTACAGATTAGTCCTCAAAGAAAAGATGCTTAAAGACCTGATAGCCTGACTGAAATCAGTGAGATCAGAGAGAGACCTAACTCTTTCAGAAGGCCTGCAAGGCATTTGATGCTTCTTTTACCAGTAGGCTTTCTCTGCCTTTGGTTGAAACTTATCCAAAAAGGTGAACTTCAAAGACCTGTTTCAAGTGAGGGGGACGACACTGCAGGATGCCCTTTATTCAACCAGATGGACTCCACAGGAACAAACACAGATGTTCAGCACTCCTGTCTTCTACTTCATGACTTAAAAAAAAAAAAAACCCTGCATGGTCTAATTACTGAATAAATGAAACAGATTAATTAGATTAGACAGTCAGAAGAAATAAGGCCATTCCTTCCCATTTAAGCACACACTCAGTACAGGAGACGTACCAAGAAGGGAAAAAAAAAATCTATTGCATAAATTAAACAATTCAAGTACAGCACCAGAAGCTCTTTCAGGAAAGAAGTAATTCTAGATGGGAAAGGAGACTATGAACTACTGATTGCATCAGCGTGTCCCTACCCACTTCTGAACACTTCTGCTGCCTAGAACAGCATTACTGTGTCAGGCAAGGTACAAAATCCACTCTCCTTCATAATGTCTTTTATCCAAATTGCATTCATACCACGGGAACAGATTATTCACAACTGGGAAAATGCATCCAAAGTCTATTTCCCAGCAGCTTTTAAGAGAGAACTTCATAGAAGTGAGGCATGAATGGAAATCATCTTGGGAGAGTGCTATGTAGTAAAAAGGACCTCATCGGGTCAAAGTGTCTTTATTTTTGTTTCCAGCTTATTAGAAAGAAGGGAATCCCATATTTGTTCCAGTTTCAAATACCAAAAGCAACAAAACCAACAAAAATTTGAGTAAACTTATAGATGGGAGAATTGTTTCTACAATGTTTCTGCTTTGTTTCCAAGCCAAGAAAGTGCTTGTATGTCTTCTGTACACTTGATCTATAACATTAGAGAGAGAATTTGCTGGACCTAATGAACTCTCTTAGAGATCACCATGACTTTAAGTCTTTTGCTATAAATCCTTCTGTGTTTTAGCACAGTGATCTACATATAAAAATACAACTGACCACATAGCCCAGAAATCAATTCTGAACTTTTGCCTGAAGCCAAGGAAATGCTCCTTTACCCACCTAATGAAACATATCTATGAGCAACAATGCTACAATCCAAAACTTAATTATAAAATTATGATAAATAAAATTAATAGAATAGAAACCATTATTAAAATCTAAGATAGATTCCTTCCCTTTTCATTAATCTTTTTGTTTTATGAACTTAATTTTTTCATATCTACCAGAAAACTAGATAACAAGGAATGTCAGCATCCATTTTGTTGAAAGTGTCTAAAACCATACTGACCCCATCAAAACACTGACCACAAAGTTCTTCTGTTAACTTTTTCATTTAACTTTCAAAGGATAAAAAGCTCAAGGTCTCTTTGTTGTCATAATCCGGAAGCTCTGCTAGCCCAAGACTGTGGCTGTTGATTTTTCACTGAGGTTCATTCACATTATTGCACAGAACAAGCTCAAAACCAGAGTGCAACTTCAGGCCTGCTTGACATCAATCACACTGTGACTTTCAAACTCTTGCTACAGAAGCTCCCTTCAACAAAAAATCAAGCTTCTGAGCTCGTGATTATGTATTCAGCCTAACCAGTCCCAGTTAAAGCAAAAGGGGTGTAACGTCAAAAAAATTTTTATGTCCCCTTCTTTCCTTAGTGTTCATTTAAATTCTGCCTGTCCTGGAAGGAGGAAAGTGCTGTAGATGTTTTGAAAGATTAAATGAGAGTTTATTCAATAGCACTGCAGTCAATACTTTCTTTAATCAAATAAAATAATATCCTAGGAACATATATAGTGGATTTTTTGTATGAAAGTTTCAATAGCATTCTTAAAAATGCATACCCAGTGCTGACACTGAAACATATCCAATCATCTTAGAATCATAAATAATTACTTTGAAAGCCTCATACAAAGGGGTAAATTCCTTGCTCTTCTTCAGCCACTACAACTGATATAAGTAGCTCAGTTTTCAGAGGGAAGAAAAAAAGTATCACAAACACAAACCAGAAATCTGAAGGGCAGTAGCAGTATGGCCAATGTTAAAAGATTAGATTAAGTAAATTATATTTTCATCATGTCCTAAGTGCAACAAACAGAGCAGTCTGTATCCTTGCAGGGAAGACACGTCTAGCTCAAGACCTCCCTGCCTTGGTACACAAGGTTCAGCCTTGGCTGAAATTTGGGATTAAGAGCAGGTCTGACTCAGCCGCTGAGGACAGCCAGGCAGCTGAAAGGAGTGGGGAACTCTCCAAATGCAGATTAAAACATACCTGAATGCCAGCCAAGTGAGCACAATCTTTGCAGGTGGGTCTCACCTGTGAGTGTGTTTTTAAGCAAGGAGGATCACATCACACTTACAGACACACCTGACACAACAGCCATTCATTACCTCCTCATCTCCCCTGATGTGTGACACTCCTTACCAAAAGAAGCCTTGTCAGAAAACAATTTTTTCAAAAGCAGTGGCACACTGAAGGCTCTATTTTTCACCAGGACTCAAAATCAGTACATTTTCCAGTCCTTCGTGAAACGTTTCTTTTCAGCATTATGAATTGCATTGTTTTCATTTCAAGGGAGAAATGACTGACAAAATGCTTTACCACCAATAAGGAATCACTAATCCTGACGTTTATGTGGAAAAAGTGACTATCAAAAGAGTCACTTTGGTGTAAGAATCTGACAGCTCATTGACAACACCCCTCCCCACCCGTGCCGTGTCCATGGAAGAGCCCTGATGGTGCTGTCTGCTGCCTTAAGACGGCATCATCTATAATGCCTTCTACCAAAAGGCAGTTTAAAGCCTGGGGTATCAAAAATCAATTGAATCTGGAATTTCTCAATGCATGGCCTCCTGTAGCTGATTTTTGCCTTCTCTATATATCCTCATCTCACTATTTGCAGAGATCCTCAGGGATCACATTTCTCTGCTCTGCATCTCCTGAAGCAACAGAGCAGAAAGAGAAAAGGACTGAATTGTCTTTCTTTCTTTCCCTTGACAGAAATACGTCTACTCCTGACAGGCTGCACGGTAGCAGAATGCTGCAGTCAACTATTTGATAAGAGAAGGCA